GGGCTTCTTCCTGGTTGGCATTAGGGGGTCAAGCCCCGACTCCTGAATCCTAGACTCCACCAAAACTCGGACTCTTGAACCATAAAAGCCAAAAGCTTGCCTCCGACACTCGAAACCCCAGCTAGCCCATATGAAGCCCTAGAAAGCCTTCAAAAAAAGACTAACCCCCTTCTTAGAATGAAGCATCTTAAAAATCCTACAGAGCGATCCAAAAACTGTACAAAGGCACGCCCTTTCCAAGCACCCCTAAACCCGAAATCCTAAACCTTAAAGCCTAAACCCCCCAACCCGAAATCCCAAAACTTAAAGCCTGCAACCACAAACCCGAAATCCTAAACCTTAAACCCTAAACCCCAAACCCGAAATCCTAAACCTGAAAGCCTACACCCCAAACCCGAAATCCTAGACCTTAAAGCGTAAACGCGAAACCCGAAATCCTGAACCTTAAAACCTAAACCCCCCAACCCGAAATCCTAAACCTTAAAGCCTAAACCCGAAATCGGAAATCCTACACCTTAAAGCCCAAACCCCAAACCCGCAATCCTAAACCTTAAAGCCCAAACCCCGAACCCTAAACCTTAAGCTCTTTACCCCAAACCCGAAATCCTAAACCTTAACCTCTTTACCCGAAACCCGAAATCCTAAACCTTAAAGCCTAAACCCGAAACCCGAAATCCTAAACCTTAAAACCTAAACCCCCCAACCCGAAATCCTAAAACCTTAAAGCCTAAACCCGAAATCGGAAATCCTACACCTTAAAGCCCAAACCCCAAACCCGCAATCCTAAACCTTAAAGCCCAAACCCCAAACCCTAAACCTTAAGCTCTTTACCCCAAACCCGAAATCCTAAACCTTAACCTCTTGACCCGAAACCCGAAATCCTAAACCTTAAAGCCTAAACCCGAAACCCGAAATCCTAAACCTTAAAACCTAAACCCGAAATCGGAAATCCTACACCTTAAAGCCCAAACCCCAAACCCGCAATCCTAAACCTTAAAGCCCAAACCGCAAACCCTAAACCTCAAGCTCTTTACCCCAAACCCGAAATCCTAAACCTTAAAACCTAAACCCCCCAACCCGAAGTCCTAAAACCTTAAAGCCTAAACCCGAAATCGGAAATCCTACACCTTAAAGCCCAAACCCCAAACCCGCAATCCTAAACCTTAAAGCCCAAACCCCAAACCCTAAACCTTAAGCTCTTTACCCCAAACCCGAAATCCTAAACCTTAAAGCCTAAACCCGAAATCGGAAATCCTACACCTTAAAGCCCAAACCCCAAACCCGCAATCCTAAACCTTAAAGCCCAAACCCCGAACCCTAAACCTTAAGCTCTTTACCCCAAACCCGAAATCCTAAACCTGAAAGCCTACACCCCAAACCCGAAATCCTAGACCTTAAAGCGTAAACGCGAAACCCGAAATCCTGAACCTTAAAACCTAAACCCCCCAACCCGAAATCCTAAACCTTAAAGCCTAAACCCGAAATCGGAAATCCTACACCTTAAAGCCCAAACCCCAAACCCGCAATCCTAAACCTTAAAGCCCAAACCCCGAACCCTAAACCTTAAGCTCTTTACCCCAAACCCGAAATCCTAAACCTGAAAGCCTACACCCGAAACCCGAAATCCTAAACCTTAAAGCCTAAACCCGAAACCAGAAATCCTGAACCTTAAAGCCTAAACCCGAAACCCGAAATCCCCGAAATACGTCCCCAGCAAGACCTCGAAGGGATCCTCGGCGCCAGAGATGAGCCTGGGCTGTTCAGCAGCCCGCTGGAAGGAAGTCGATGCTTTAAAGGGATCTATAAGGGTTCCTTTAAAGGGATCTATAAAGGTTCCTTGAAAGGGATCTATAAGGGTTCCTTTAAAGGGATCCATAAGGGTTCCTTTAAAGGGATCCATAAGGGTTCCTTTAAAGGGATCCATAAGGGTTCCTTTAAAGGGATCCATAAGGGTTCCTTTAAAGGGATCTATAAGGGTTCCTTTAAAGGGATCCATAAGGGTTCCTTTCAAGGGATCTATCATGGGGATGAGGGATTAGGGTTTAGGACTCAGGGTGTGGGCTCTGGACTTTCGGGCTTCGGATCTAGGGTTTTAGAGTTTAGGGGTATTTTGGGGCTTTGGGGCTTTGGGGCTTAGGATTTAGGATTTCGGGTTTGGGCATAGGGCCTAGGACATGATAGGAACTTAGACAAAAGTAAAAACATATACAACTGAACGGCCCGGGGACTGCAGAGGATGAGGTGTGCCCTGCTCCACGCAGCTTGCGTTCTCCTTTGCCGGAAGAAGGTTAGAACAGCTTTAGACTAGGGAGCCTTAGCAGGTTCAGGGTTTACGCTTTAGGCTTTTAGGGTTTTAGGGTTTAGAAACCCTAAACTTAAACCCTAGACCTCCTCTAGGGTTTAGGCTTTAGAAACCCTAACCTAAACCTCTGTTTTGCCGGACTTCAAGGGTTTAGGGGTTTTGGGGGTTTGGGGGTTTAAGGGGTTTAGGGGTTCGGGGGTTTTAGGGTTTACGGGTTTGCGGGTTTTAGGGTTGTACGGGCCTCAAGGGTTTGGGGGTTGGGGTTTGGGGTCCACGATTTGCTGAAACAAGTGGGGGCCGGGTCGCCAGGAAGAGGCACCAGTGGCCGTGATGAGGATCGAAGCTGAAGTTCCGAACAGCGGTGGCGGCTTGGCGATCGAAGGCATGGTCCATGTGATAGAGCCTAAACAGAGGGTTCTTCAAGGAGATTCTAGGGTTTTAGGGTTTAGGGCGTGGGGTTTAGGGTTTAGGGGCTCTGTAGTGATAAAGCCTCATTTCGGGCTTTGGGTGTCAAGCTGCAGCCGTTAAGAATTGATTGCTCGCGTGCGTTCGGGAGCCAGAAGCAGCCTTGTGGTGGTTCTGCTCAGCTTTCCGGGGTTTGCAAACCATGGCGAAATAGGGGTCAAACCAGCGTTTCGAAGTTCTGTACGTGGTTAAGAAAAACTTTTGTAACGGCTCTGAAAGGTTGAGGCTCAAGGAGACTGGGTTGTTGACTTTAGGGCTCTGGCCCCTGAAAATCCAGATGGAAAGCCGAGAGACAGCCGACCCTCCACCCGAGAGGTGGGGAAGTAGAAGCCCTCGAAGTTCGCGTAGGAAAGCGGCAGAGGGCTTCTCCTACATTCAGACGGCTTTGAAAAGATGGGGTATCTATCTATCTATCTATCTGTATGTATGTATGTATGTATGTATATATGTATATCTACATACATACATACATATGTATACATATATATATATATATATATAGATATATATATATATATATTATGTCTCAAGACTCTATATAGAGGGGGTATAGACTTTGAGCGGCCTCTTGGGCTCTTGTAAGGGGCTTAATACACTGAATACGGGTTTTTCTTGACACCGTCGTTGGCGTGTAAGCATACTTGGGTTTGGGAATCCCTTGTCTGATGCGAATCCCTACCGAAAAGCCCATTTTGTAAACACTTTATCGGCTTCGGATGCACATGCGGCCTCTGAAGATTCTGAAGCCTACTGGGAAATTCGATTAGGTGGCGATCACCATCACGCAGGGATTGCTAGTACTGTGCTCCTCTTCGGGTTTGGGCGCTGGCAAGTGTCAGCGTGGCAATATTCCTTAATGGCTGAGTTCATAAGCCCCAAAACGACCAAACTTTCCGATCGATAAGGATTTTGCTATCCAAAAGTGTAGTGTACACTCACTCACCTGCTAAGAGTCAATAAGTCTGGGTTTGCTGAATTCTGGAGGTGCCCAAGCCCGTGGCTCGAAACCCCAGCACCCTGAAAACCCCAAGGCCCAAAAGCCCTAAACCCCTCAACGAGGTAAAGCAGGGGCGCTTGAACCGTGAACCCCCTAAGATGAAGTCTCATATAGGGGTCGGGATAATTTGTAATGGTACCTCCTTAGAGTCACTGTGTGATTACACCCGACAAACCCTCTGCTAATTATGCAAGCCCCTTGTACTAAACTACAGTAGCAATTCTTCAAGCTCAGTGCTGAAGAGCCGAGCTGCTCCCCGATGATGGATAGAGGCTCGTGCGGTGCGATCTCACAGCAGGTGTATAAGAATCCTGAGCTGCACGCAGGACCGCTAAGTCTCAGCCTGTTCTTATCAGAAGTACATTGTTATTGGGCAAAATCTGGTGCATCGCGGTTAAGCAGCATTCAAGCTTGTGCCGCGTAGCATGGAAGGGTCCGAAGGCCAGCGAAACCAAACTACCAAAACTTGCCAAAACTATGTAAAAGCCTAAAGCAAGCCTAATTGCAACAGGCAAACCCTAAACCCTTAACCCCTAAAGCCATAAAAGAAGACCAAGAGCTCTGAGAAGAAAGGCCGAGAGTCTAACCTCCGAGTTGCTCTCGCCGGGATCCTTGGCCTCCAGGACGAAGTGGCTCAGCACCCAGCTGTCCTCGTCGATTACAGTAGGCGGTTAATTATTAGTTTAGGGTTTTAGGGTTTGGGGTTACAGGGTTCAGGGGTTTCAGGTTTTAGGGTTTAGGGTTTTCCACAAGGTTTAGAGTTTATAGTTTAGGGGTTTGTATTATAAGGTTTAGGGCTTTAGGGGTTTAGGGTTTGGGGTTTAGGGCTTTGGGGTTTAGGCAGCAGCACCCAGCTGTCCCTCTTGCTGCTTCTTACGCGTCCCGTATGAGTTTCTGTGTGAAACGCAGCCAGCTGTCCTCTTCGGTTGTTAGGTTTGGGATGGTTTGGGCTCCAGGGAATTCCTGCTTAGGGTGTAAGGTTTACGCTTACCGGGAGGAAGAGCCGCAGAAGCAGCAGCAGCAGCAACAGCAGCAGCAACAGCAGCAGCAACAGAAGCGGCAGCGGCAGCACTTGCTGCATTTTCAATGAAGACTCAACAAATAAACGATCACGTACAAACGCAAAATTCTTACGTCCTAAACCTTGCACCCTAAACCCAAAGCCTCAAAAACCTAAACCCAGAATATACCCGCAAACACTCTTCTAGCAATTAAAAGGCCCCCCTTAGTCAATCCTTATGGTAACTGGAAGTCCTTGCAGCTCATCACGTGCTTCGCCAAGGCCTCGATGCGTCCTTGAACCGAAGGCTCGCGCTTCGTCCATGGCGTCAGCTCGAGATCGCAACCGCCCATGCCGTGCAAGTCGCAGCAGCGATAAGCATACCTAGATCAGATGCAGGGTTTAGAGCTGAAGGTTTGGAGTTTAGGCTTCAGGGTATAGGTTTAGGCTTTGGTATAGGTTTAGGCTTTGGTATAGGTTTAGGCTTTTGTGTAGGTTTAGGCTTTGGTATAGGTGGACTGTGGGCTAGCGGCAGTAGCTTTCATCATCACGGCTTTTTGGGGTCTTGATAAGCGTCAGGGCAGGAACCTTAAACCAACGGATCCGGCTGAGGCCCTGCAGAACTGACCAGTTTCTTGAACTTCTTGAAGAGCCGTCTTTGTTAGCCGCCTAACCTCGGGATCCTTACGAATCGAAGGGCCTTCAAAACTGGAATACGGCTTTCTATCGAGTTCTAACCCCGCACCCCTGAACCCTAATCCCCAGGGCGTGTGGAATTCCGGAGAAGGATGCAGCGTCAACCTGTTTCGGCCAGTGCGTCAGACGCTTCGAATGGATCGCCGAACATAAACCGAGAAGCTTTCAGGGCCCAAGTTTTGGGGCTTTTTGGGCTCTACTTGGAGGTTCAGGGGTAGTTATAAGTGGGATTATAAGTAAGGTAACCATAACTTTAACCCATATTGAGGGACTTATAACCCCACTTGTAACTACCCATGAACCTCGAAGTATGGCTTTTATCTCGTCGTGAGTTATGGGTTTCTCATTACCCTCCTCAAACCTAACCCGAAAGCCCTCGTGACCTGTAGAGCCCAGGCACTGGTACCCCTGAGGACACGTTTGGAAGGCCACCTCAGGTTCAGCAAATCAACGTGTTTAGGGTTTGGGAAGGGGATATTTAGGGTGCTTGGGGCTTAGGACCAAGGAAGTGTTTGGCTTAAGGTTTAAAGCTTACACCTTGGAGTTTAGCGTCTAGCAGTCTAGCACTTGGGGTGTAGGGTTGAAGGTTTAGGGACATGAACATCATCCCAAAGCCGTGTGCGACGGAGAATCAGTTCAGCCTAGCCCTAAACCGTGGGTGCGTCTGCATAGACGGATGAAAACCTTGGTACCCAACAGGTTTTGGATTCAAGGCTGGACGGCAACGTCCTAAATCCCACATCCTCAATCCCCGGAAGTCTAAAATCCTAAAGCCGAAACTCCGAAAGTTCGCAACTTGGACGGACGGATCACTTGAGGCATTTGAACACCAGAGAACAACTCCTGAGGGCCCAATGAACACCGACTTTTGAGCCCTAGACCCGCGACTCCAACCCTCCACGCTGGGTTTAGCGATTGTAGGTAAGGGCTGGGGCATAATAATTAGTATTAATTGCTGGGCACCTCACATCGCAGCCCTGAAACCTATGCTTAACTTTAAAGCCTGAACCCTAAATCCTGGACCCCCCAAGCCACGAAATGCTTAACAAACCAGGTCGCCGATTGCAGAGCTTGGCCTCTGCCACATTGAACCTTACCACCACTGAGAAAAGGCTGCTCAGCACCACCATCACCACAGTCATCGTCATCGTCGTCATGAACACAGCCATCGTCATCATCATCATCATCATCATCAGAATCATGGTCGTCTTCGCGTCATCACGAACCAATCAATCAACCCACCAACCAGCCTAGGGTGTTTAAGGTTCATGCTCCTCACCTTCGTCATCGCCACCATGGTCATGACCTGTCGCCATCCGACATGCATCACTTTTGCAGCGTAATGCTCGGAAGATGCACGCTCCTGAAACCGCAAGCAAAGCTCAGGGCTCAGGGCTCCCTCCAAGTACCTACAAACCTTTATGTAAAACACAGACTGTGGGGGTGCACTCAACAGCATGACGTCCTAAACCCCTAGGAGTTGAAACCCTACGCGCTGAGTCTTGCAAAGGCGCGCGATGCGCCTCAAGCTGGTAGAGCTCCGAGTCTGTGGCCTGCAGACGGCAGGAATCACCCCTGAAGCCCCAAAGCCTAAAGCCTTAGCTTGTGATCCCTCGACCCTACCCCTAAACCCTTAAAACGCTAAAGAAACCGTTACGACCTAAACCCTAAACGCTTGGCACCTAAACCCTAAGCCCTGAAATCCTAAAGCCTGAACCCTTTGGCCCATGACCGTGACACGTACGGACAACGCCTCTCGAAATGCTAATGCTCCTGTTTGGGCTAAGGGCGTGGAGTCTGGCTTCCGCTGCCTGCCTGGACGCAGTCTGTCTGCAGGTCATAGCAATTCGCAGAATCAAAGACGCCGCTGGCCATCCAATAGCCTACATGAGTGGGCAATCTGCGAACTGATGGGGTGACTGATACCGACATCAGAGAGGACAACAGACCCTAGCCCCAGGCCAAAAAACCTCATTCAACCCTGAATACGAAGAACAGAGCCCACTAAGACCAATACGAACCCGAATACAAGGGTCTGAATAACTAGCACCCCATTTCAGACAAGGACACAGGTCATTGCAAACCAGCGGCTGTAGCGGAACTGGCCGGGCACTGAGGTGTTCTTCAGCTGCACCTTGGACAGGAAGTGCTGGCCGACTGGATCTCCCACCTGGTTAGTGCTTCGGTCTTTTTTTAATTTTAGAGGTATAGGGGTTTAGGGTTTAGGGTATAGGGGTTTAGGGTATAGGGGTTTAGGGTTTAGGGTTTGGGGGTTTAGGGTCTAGGCTTTATCTGTCGGGCTTACAAGTGTATGCGGCGTGTATATCCGTATACTTGCATGCATGCGTGCATGTATATAGATATGCGCAGTACTCCGAAGGGCTGTTAGAAGGATCTTCCTCGGGAAAGCTAGTGTTTTCTGGAGGGCTGCTAGAAGAGATTGTAGTCTTATACACCGGCTTCACACGCGCTTCAAAGCTGTGAGGAGTCCGGTGTGGTTTAGGGATCAGAGCCCTAGCCTGGGCCTAGGGTTTACTTGGAAGTTCAGGGGTAGTTATAAGTGGGATATAAGTGGGGTAACTACACTTGAAGCATTGGAGCCCATACTACGGGACTTATAACACCACTTATAACTACTCCTGAACCTCCAGGAAAGGCTAAGCGCATTGGATTTTCGGGCTTCTTGTATAAGAGTCTATTCTAAGCCATAAGGAATCCTTCGAATTTGTTTTCTATGCTTTCTATCCTCGTCGTGACAACTTCGATTTAACAAGAGCCCACTACCTAAAACCCAACCCTCTTCTTTAAACCTGGATAGAACCCTTAGGAACATCTTTGTAAGAGTCTGTGAACCCCAGGAAGGCCCTTTCAAAATCATTCTAAGCACAAAAGCACGTTACAAGAAACCCTTGGTACCCCTAGTTCCCGCCGAATTCCCGCCTAGACCCTAAACCTTAAGCCCCAATTCCCACTTAGCCGCAACGAAAATCCCTAAGCACCGAACTCCTAAACTCTAAAGCCTCAAGCCTTAAACCGCAAAACCCTAAAGCCCCATCAAACACCAAACCCGAAACACCTAAACCCCTAATCCCCGAACCCTAAACCCAATGCCCCTAAATCCCCGAGCCCTCAACACTGCACCTTCATGTAGGGGCCCTAATAGTTAGAATATGGTTTTGGGGCCCATTATGCCATATTTTTACTAAGAAACCCCAAAATAGTGTTGGCAACTATTAAGGTTTCTATTATAGTAAAGCCCCTTTAAAACACATCATCACAGGGGCCTTCCCCATCGAGACCAAGAGCTTCAAGGGGTTGCCATTCGAGCTGACAGTAACCTCCGCGATCCCAACGGAGCGGTCTACGGTTGAAGGCTTAGGGTTAAGGTTTAAGGGTTTCGGGTTTAGGTGCTTGGGGTTAAGGGGTTTGGGGTTCAGGGGTTTAGGGGTTTAGGGCTTTAAAGGGTTTAGGGCTTAGGGTATTGGGTGCCCCTCGAGCCTAAATGCAGGGGAGGCTTAGGGTTGGGGTTCGGGGCTTCGGGCGTCGGGGCTTTGGGTTGCCTTTTAGGTCTGCATGGCTTAGGGGCTTAGGGGGTCAGGGAGCACCAGCGCCTCAGGGCTTAGAGAAAGATTGGTTGAACGCGCTTAGTGTTTGCGGGCTCCGAATAAAGGCTATAAGGTCCTCTAAATCCTAACCCTAAACCCTTACCCCTAAACCCTAAACCGAAAAAAAAAGCTGAACCCAAAGCCCAGCAGCTGGAGAGCAGGTGGAATGGTCTTCAATACCACAGCGGTGCTCCACGTTCCCATGCTCCTCGGTGTTCGGTACATCCTTCTAAAATTAAGGTTTAAGGTTTTGGGAGTTTAGGGATCAGGGCACTAAAGATCCCTGGAAAGCCCTTTCATCCACCCGTACAATACCTGTTCTAGTGGTAGATTCCCAGACAAACTTCCAAGGCTCTTTCATGGTCCATTGGCTGATACTTTCGTGGAGAGATTCCATAGGCACCTGGTAGGGCTTGAGGGTTTAGGGTTGACCGATTCAAAGCAAAGGTTTTCGGGTTTGGTGTTTAGGGGTAAGTAATTGGGATCACAACATAACTAAACCCTAATATGCCCCAAAACCCTATTGCCGTTTTTCGGCCCCCTATATTCACATCCCATTCAATGAAACAAACCCTCCACCCTAAACCCTGAAGCCCCAAAACCTGAACCCCAAACCATCCATCCTCAACCCTAAACCCCTTAACCCCAAACCCTCCACCCTGAACCCCTACAGCACCAGCTGGTTCAGGTCGTGCTCGTAGCAGTCGAGCATTTGGCCATCCTACGGAGCTTCGGGGCTTCCTGCTCTAAGGAGCTAGGAGTTCAGGTGCTTTGGGGTTTGGGCGTTTAGGGTTTAAGGGCATGGGAAACTTGCTAGGAGTTGGGGTTTAAGCTTGGGGGTTAGGGGTTTGGGCGTTTAGGGTCTAGGGGCTAGGAAACCAGCTACGAGTTAAGGAGCTTTGGGGTTTAGGTTTTTGGGTTTGGGGGGTTAGGGGGTTCGTGGGTTTAGGGTTTGGGGGCTTGGGAAACTTGCTAGGACTTGAGGGGCTTCGGGGTCTAGGGTTAAAGAGTTTAAGAAACGAGGAGGTTAAGGGCTCAAGATGCAAGAACCTAAGATGTACGGTTTAAGGAACTAGGGGTGAAGGTTTAATGGTTCGAGATGTAAGAAGAGGTTCTCAAGAGTTTAAGATACAAGAGCTTATGACTTGAGGTTCAGGAGTTTTAAGGATCGAAGAGTTCAAGGTTCAAGATCTTCAGACCTAAAGAGCTTAAGAGAACCCTAAACCCTAAACCCTAAAGCGTCACGAGTTGAAGATTCGGGGTTTAGACGTCTAAGATGTCCGAGTTTGGAACTGAAGCTCTTCGGGGTGTCCATACTTGGAGGTTCATGGGTGGTTCTAAGTGGGGTCTTTATAAGGGGTCTATAGGATTCCTTAAAAGTTATTTCTAGGGATTAGGGTTTAGGGTAGTTGTAAGTGGGGCTATAACTAAGGTAACTATACTAACTCACGTTAACGGACTTATTACCCTACTTATAACTACCCATGAAACTCCAAGTACGGGCTGCAAAGGGCACTACATTCCCGAGAAGACTTCAGTAAGATCTGTGCTTATGGGCTTTTGGCTTTCCATGAGACTTATACAGGGGTGCTACCAGGTGGATATATCAGGGTCAGGATTTTGGAATTCAAGGTTTAGAAGTTCTACGTCGAGGATTTCCGGCTTAGGCTGCAGCCCTAATAGCGATTTAGGGTTGAAGGTTTCTGAGCATCTAGAATGATGGATTTTGGGCATAGGGGGTGGAGGCTTCTTTCGTTTCTGTAGGAAGGTTGATACGTGCCATGGTTTTTAGGCTTCTTGTCTGAACTCATTCTTGGGTTTAGGGTCTCGGGTTTTGGGTTTAGGGTTTAGGTTTAGGACCTAGCATGTCAGAGATTAAGATTTACGGTGAAGGCAGGTCCAGTCTGCTCGAAGTCTATATTGATCCAAGAACGCTTCACCTCTGTGAGCTGTTCGATAATGGGTGTGGTTTCAGGGCTTGTGTGTGTTACGGGTTCGGTCATGGAGTCATGGTTGAGGGCAAACCGGGTTGAGGGGCGCAAGGTTTCGGGTGTCATGTGGATGTGTATCAAACCAGCTCGGCCTGGCCAGCGCACAAGTGCCGAGCATTGCCAGTGAACTGAAGCAAAACTCTTCCTGCGGCTGAGTGAGCTGCGGCTTGCTGCAAGTTTTCTTGGTTTAGGGTTCAGGTTCTCCAAATCAAATCTTTCTGATCTGCTGCCTTTAACGGGCCCAATGACACCGAAAAGTAGGGGCCCCATACCCATAAGCTATGAATCGCGAAACCCTAAACCCTAAACCCTAAACTGCCGAGAGCGCCGCTGACCATTTGCATGGGCGCTCGAAGCTTCGACCGAGGTCCGTGACCGAGCGTCCCGTCAGAACGGTGATGCCGTCATGCAATAAAGAAGACCCACCATTGAGCGGCTGTGCTTTTTTTTGGGGGGGGTCTGGGGGGCACCCCCGGAGGCCAGGCTGGCCTGCCCTGCCCTGCCCTCCTGCCCTGCCCTGCCCTCCTGCCCTGCCCTGCCCTGCCTGCCCGCCCTGCGCTGCCCTGCCCTGCTGCCCTGCCTTCTGCCCTAGCCTACTCCTCGCCCTGCCCTGCCTTGTTCACACACTTCGAGCAGCCCTTACAGGGCGCGACAACCAAGTTGTTTGTTGGAAACACTTCTTTTCGTCGAGCGGCCGGCACAGGCCGCGAGGACACACAACCCGACAGCAATCCATTTCAGCTGTGATTTTTGGAGAAATATTGTTGCACATGTCGAGCTGCGAAAGGAAGCAGAGAGAAAGAAAGCCCCCCTTGAGGGGGGTTTGGGGGGTGAAGCCTAAACCCTAATTGAGAATAGTTGGGGTGGTTGGGGCGGGCTACGTGCTGACGCAAGCGCGCGAATAGTGGATGCGCCCCTATTCCTAAAGTAAAAGGCGCACCCACCGTGTGCATACTGTTACACACCCTAAATCCTAAACCCTAAACCCCTGCCGCCCCTCGACGTTGGAGACCACATGGAGACCCTAAAGCCCGACCATCCCCAGCCTTCGACCCGACAAGCCTACATGGGAGTTTCCGAAAATTAAGGGGGTACCTTATTTTAGGGTCCTTTAAAGGGTTACTTTAAGGGTACTGTAAGGGTTCCTTTAAAGGGCTCTATAAGGGTTTAGAGTTTCCGAAAATTAGGGGAGGGGTACCTTTACAGGGATCCTTAAAGGGTTCCTTAAAGGGATCTATAAGGGTTCTATGAAGGGTCTAGGGTTTAGAGTTTCCGAAAATTAGGGGAGGGGGTTACCTTTAAAGGGATCCTTAAAGGGTTCCTTAAAGGGATCTGTAACGGTTCTATGAAGGGTCTAGGGTTTAAAGTTTCCGAAAATTAGGGGAGGGGGTTACCTCTAAAGGGATCCTTAAAGGGTTCCTTAAAGGGATCTATAAGGGTTCTATGCAGGGTCTAGGGTGTAGAGTTTCCGAAAATTAGGGGGGTTACCTTATTTTAGGGTCCTTTGAATAAGGAGCCTACTATTTAGGGTACCATAGTAGGGTCCCCTATTTTCGGAAACTCCCACATGCCCTCCCCGGCTTCTTCGCCTGGCGATGCGGCCACGGGCAGGATGCGCCAGGTGTCTCGACTTGCACTGCTTCGGCACGTACCCCAGGTTGCCTGGGCCAAGCTGAGACTTCTGGGGGTTCTTGGGTCACGTTGCGGGCCAAACCCTACGCCCTCTAAAACTCTAAACCCTCGGAAAACCATAAACCACCCTAAACCCCGGACCCAAACCCCCAAAGCTCCAAAGGCCTAACGCTGTGCCGAGACGCCTTCATGGGATGAAGCACCGAAAACTCCTGCAGATGAGGCCCTTGTGAAACCCTGGCAAAAGCTGTTAAACACCTTCAGAAACAAGACTTGCAAAATGAATCCACAAAACCATATGACAAAAAAAAGCAAACAACTACGAACAAATCCCTTTTGAGAACCCTGCAGGTCGGTAAGCCCTAGAAAAAACCACCTCCCCCCTCCCTCCCCTATCTATCTATCTATCTGTCTATTCTATCTATATTATACATATATACTTTTCTATATGGATATATATATATATATATGCATATATATATATATATATACATATACATATACATAGTATACATATACATATATCTATATATATATATATGAGTGGTTTACCCCTGCTCCTGCAGACCCCGACAGGTCTCTCGATCGCCGGAGAGGCGAATCGTGGCCGAGCCCAGGCCCAGGAGCCTTCGTCGGGGCGCTTTGGAGTTTGAGGTTTGGGGCTTTAGGGCCTGTAGGGTTTAGGGTTTAGGGCTCTTGGTGGTTTTAGGGTGTAGGGTTTAGGGTTTAGGGCCTTTTGGTGGTTTTAGGGTTTAGGGTTTAGGGTTTAGGGCTCTTGGTGGTCTTAGGGTGTAGGGTTTAGGGTTTAGGGCTCTTTGGTGGTTTTAGGGTGTAGGGTTTAGGGTTTAGGGCCTTTTGGTGGTTTTAGGGTTTAGGGTTTAGGGTTTAGGGCTCTTGGTGGTCTTAGGGTGTAGGGTTTAGGGTTTAGGGCTCTTTGGTGGTTTTAGGGTGTAGGGTTTAGGGTTTAGGGCCTTTTGGTGGTTTTAGGGTTTAGGGTTTAGGGTTTAGGGCTCTTGGTGGTCTTAGGGTGTAGGGTTTAGGGTTTAGGGCTCTTTGGGGCTTTAGGGTGTAGGGTTTAGGGTTTAGGGCCTTTTGGTGGTCTTAGGGTGTAGGGTTTAGGGTTTAGGGCTCTTGGTGGTTTTAGGGTGTAGGGTTTAGGGTTTAGGGTAGGGTGTAGGGTTTAGGGTTTAGGGCTCTTGGTGGTTTTAGGGTGTAGGGTTTAGGGTTTAGGGCTCTTGGTGGTCTTAGGGTGTAGGGTTTAGGGTTTAAGGCTCTTGGTGGTTTTAGGGTGTAGGGTTTAGGGTTTAGGGCCTTTTGGTGGTTTTAGGGTTTAGGGTTTAGGGTTTATGGCTTTTAGGGCCTTTAGGGCCTTTAGGGCCTTTAGGGCCTTTAGGGCCTTTAGGGCATTTAGGGTTTAGGGTTTAAGGTTTAGGGCCTTTCGGGGTTTGGGGTTTAAGGTTTCGGGTTCGAGGCCAAACTTAAGGTTTACGTACGGTTTTAGGTCTTAGGAAAACAGGATAAAGCTTCAGAAGGTTTCATCGGGTTCTTATAAGATTTGATAAGGCTAAAGAAAGGCTTCGTCTTGATAGGGCTTTCAAAGGAATTTACAGGGTCTTACATAGATTTTGGCGTCCCCGTGCAACACGGCCTGTGCTATGGGCTTTTTAGAATTCGACCTTATCCCTTCTGCGTAGTTAGCTCATGGTTGTTGCAAAGCCTCCAAAAAAGGAACCGAGCCAAGCTTCCCAAAACGCCTGTAGAAGTCTTACAGACCACTTTTGGTAACCCTGAGAGAACCCTTGAAGGAATCTGTAGGGGAACCTTTCAAAGTATCCCGCTTTGAAGGAACCCTCGAGGGACCCTCCTGGAAGGCCTCATGGTTGTCTCGAAGACACGCTCAACCTTCGGTTGGCAATACTCCCACGCCACCTCATCATCCTGAACGTAGCACCTCGTTTAGGGTTTAGGCCTAGGCTTCAAGGAGTTCAGGGCTTAGGCTGCGTTATTGAACACTTTCTTTTGGGGCTTGCGGTTAAGGACTTAGAGTTTACGGCTTTGGGGTTTAGGGTAAAGGGGCAGCTAACCGAGTTCTCCTCCAACTATATACATTCCTGATCGAAAGCCTTGACAACAGATGAATGTCTTGCTTTTTGTGTGCGTGAGGCCTAAACCCTAAACCCTAAACCAACCAGATTTTCAGTAGAGGGTCACTGGTTTAGGGCTTGGGGTGTTGGGGGACCTTATTTCCTTAAAGCCCTAGCCCTGCACCACTGTTAGGATCGCGATTTTAATTCTCTGAAAGAGAAGGGGTTTAGGGTTTGAGATCTAGCCCTGAACCATTCTTAGGATCGCGACTCTACTCCTTGTAAAGAGCGGGGGCTCGAGTAATCAGCGGTCTACAACACTGGGCATCCGCCCTTCAGTATGTGTGGAGGGGGTCCGGAAAGTAGTGGTACCTTACTACTTTCGCAGTCCTCAAAATACGGATCCTTGTCATCTTCTGAAACTGACATACAAAGCAACGGCAACCAGTCTTCGAAACAGAGCTTTTCTAGTGCGACACCGAGATGTTGTGCACCCATCTCGAGCTTCAGGTTATACGGCTGAAGCTGCCTTTAGGGATAATTCTCGACGATTCAGGGTGTAAGCTTAGAAGATTGTTTGTGGTGGTTGCAATGCTTTGTGGTCGCTGTTGTTGGTGTTTCTGCTGTAATTCCGACCTCCACACACAGAAAAAAATGGAGATACAGTATAAAGCTGATATACAACCCTTGTGAACCCTAAACCCTAAGCCCCCCAAAAGTCCCGGCCGAGGCACCAAATGGTTGAAGAGTTGTCGGGATTGCGACAGAAGCTCGACTCGAGGCCCGCGACCATTCCTGGTGGGTGTCTAGGGTTGAGGGTTTAGGGTTTATAAGTTCTTAGGGTTTTGGGGTTCTGGTTTCGGGTTTTTAAGGTTTTGGGTTGAAAGAAGTTTTTAGGGTTTTGGGGTTAGGGTTTCGGGTTTTAGGGTTTTGGGGCTATGGTTTAAGGGTTTTGGGGTGATGGTTTAGGGTTTTACGGTTTGGGGGCTATGGTTTAGGGTTTTGGGGTTTGCGTTTAGGATTTAGGGTTTAGGGTTTAGGGTCCCCATACCCAGCACAACGCTAAATCGAATCTTGGCTAAATCGAAACTTGGGATCCTTGGATACTTTAGGGTATGTACGTATACATGTATGCGCGTCTATACCGTAACCTCGCGTACCTACAAGTATGTTCTATTAAGTACAAGGTATTAGGTTGTCTGGCTTCCTGACCGGGATTTGTCAAGTCTGTGATCCTAGCGCGTCGTCCAGCAGCGCTGAATGATTAGAGTAGGTTCTGGGATATATTATACGATAACTATAATACGCAATCCTCAGGAACAGCATTGGTAATCAGTCAGGCATGCAAGCTTCTAGCTTAGGTGCTTGCTTGGCCTTATCCAAGGCTAGGGCTTTACGGGTTTGGGACTGTTGCCATACTAGTAAGGCTACTAGTAAGGAGCGTATGTGCGCGTGTATGTGTATGTACACAGTGAATCACAGGGACTGCTAATTGTGGATCCTCATAGAGCCCAGTAACAAGAAAAGCTTCCGTTGACCGCTAGATAGTTTGCCCAAAAGGTGCACGCAAGCTCTCTCAACCCAAGGCTGCATTATTAGAGTTTAGGGATTAGAGTTTAGAGTTAGGGTTTAGGGAACACTAAATCTAAACCCTAACCTCCCAAACCCGTAACAGAGCCCGGCAAAGCTGCAGGCAAGTCGCTCTCACTCTGGTTGAGCGCCCTTCCCATCCTGTCCTGCCGAGAACGAGGATGGAAACAGTCCAAGAGCTCACAAACAGGACGCGTACGCGGGTTGGGGGAGTCTCTATACGTGAGTTTTTGAAAGTAGGGGACCCTAATATAGTACCCTAAATAGTAGGATCCTTGTTATAAGGATCCCCAAATACGGTACGCCTAATTTTCGGAAACTCCCATACTGATATTTGCATGAAAGAGCCCAGAAGAATGGTACTACTAGCTGTTCAGGCCCTTACGTTACCTGGATCCCAGAGTGGGTCAGAGGTCGCTTCGGGCGTAGAGCATCGGGTTTAAGGTAACTTGGGGTCAAACTTAGACCGTAACTGCTAAATATTTGCTTCTATGCTCTAGAACCGTAAACATTTGCTTTTATACTCTAGAACCCAAAACATTTGCTTTTATGCCCAAAACCCAAAAGGCTTGGGTTGCGCGTCCCCTCTCCCTACATCCCTCAATCCCTCAAGGTCCTCGAGCTCGGTCAGACGGGCGCTCCAGGCCAAGCACAAGCGTCCGGAGGTGGTCCCTGGTTGAGGGTTCAGGGTCCTGTAGGGCTGTGGGGGTTGAAGGTTTAGGTAGGGGTTTCAGGTTTAGGGGTCTAGGGTTTTAGGGTTTAGGGTTTAGGATTCTATCTTCGACAGGGGGTTAGGGTTTAAGGGTTCTAGAAGGGTTTGGGGTTCAGTGTCTTCGGGTTTAGGGCCTTCGGGTTTAGGGCTCAGGGCTTCATGGGTTTAGGGCCCTTGAACAACGAAGGGCTCCTGTCCCTTTTAGGACGATCGTATACTGAAAACTCTGGTCATTGTAACTCTTCTTCTCTGATTAAAGACATGTACAGTTTCCGCTCTTCTTCACAGTACATAAAGCTAGGATCAAGATATGTAGCTGCTCCTGTGAAAACGACAAGCCATTGTAAAAGCTCGTCTGAGGAACTGCCTAAACTCTATACTCCAAAGCCTAAACCCTGAACCCGAAAAAACTCTAAACCCTAAACCCTAAATCCTAAAACTCTAAGCCCTAAGCTGCAGAGGCTCTGTCTTGGCACCCGCTGTAGTTCGATCCGGTCGCCTTGGCTCGCTTTCTCTTGCTCTGTGAAGGCTGGACATGTACCTTTACCTTGGGGTCTCAATAACTAAAGTAATGTTTTCGGAGATGTTAATGTAAGTGTGCGTGTGTGGATATGTACGGTACATATGTGTATACATACCTCTGCATATATATATATATATATATACATATTACGTATACATATATGTATATAATTTGGACGACATAGAGTTGCACATCTACTCTGGACCCTAAACCCGAAGACCTTTGCTCAAGCGATATCTAGGGCTTCACAACATGAGGAGCGCGGACCCGATTACTGACAATCCTCTTCCTCAGGGTCCCTCATGTAGCTACAGTACCATATACGGCAAGACCCTGTTCCAATTATCAAGGCCCCTGTACGCAAACCCTATACAACCTTGTTTTAGAACCCCTTCTGGAGAACCCTCACCAAAAACCCTAGTCTCATTCCTAAGGCGCCTATATTTAACCCATGGTGGACACGTTCGTCTTGCAAAGGAACACCTAGCCTGCAAACTGGGCGAGTGTGGGGCTGCTGGAGTTCGGCTTTGAAAAAGCATCGGGTTGAGGATGTAGGATTATGAAAATGGCAGAGTTTTCGGGTTTAGGGTTTAGGGTTTTGGGGTTTGGGGTTTAGGGTTTACGGCTTAGGGTTTGGAGTTTAGGGTGTAAGGCCACAGAAATGCAGATCAGCGGCATCCATCGCCTCGTCGCAGGAGCTGTTCATGTTGAGATCCGTCACGGGCTTGTCCATCAGACGACAGGAGCTGATCTTGTCCCCGATAAACTTCATCCGGACTTTGTACTGTGTTCCTGATGGGAGGATACACCGGCTAAGATGTGATTCGGACCTTTTTGTTTGTAAACCCCAAACCCTAAGCCATGTGCGATCTTCGGCGTCAGGGTCTAATGCAAACCGCTTTGATAGGGAGCATGTATGGGTGTAGCGCTAGCATCCTTCCAAAACCGCACATGTAAGATAGACTATGCGTTTATTAATACTATACCGATTACTTCTACCCCTATGTTACTCTTCTGTCCTTTCGGAGCAACAGGCACGGTGACGTTGTAGGAGAGGCGCTGCCCGAAACTACAGCTGCAGTTGAATGCCTGACTGCACGGGCAGTCGCTGAAGCACGCCGTAGCCGCGGGATAAGACTGAGTCCTGGGCTAGGCCAGAAAGCCGAAACCCGAAACCTAAATCAGGATCCCCAAAACCTAAAACCTAATCCCGACGTCCACCCGCTAGACCCTGAAGCCCAAACCCTAAACCCCAAGGTTAGGTGTTTGGGGTTTTATCGTTTAGGGCCTTCCTCACTTCTCCCTGATTAAGCAAGAAGCGCACACAAACACAAACACAAACACACACAGACACACACAACTTCGCAACTCCTACTATGGCCAGTTTTCTGAGTCAGCTGACCTTTCTGCATCGCCCGACAAGTACATCACTCACAGCGGCCCGAAACGGGACCTAATCTAAATTTCAAAGCGGCGCTCAGGCGCACAAAGAAGCAAAAACACCCAAAAAGCCCCTACAAACTCAGCCCTAAACTGTAAACCCTTAACTAGGGTTTACGGTTTAGGAAACCCTAAACTAGGGTATAGGAAGACTCTCTGGGCCAGGAGTCCCCGGGGAGCACGTCTCACACTCCGACTGCCCCGCGTTGGCGGCGAACTTCCCGCTGGAACAGGCGGTGCACACCTGCATCTTTCGGGTTCAAAGCTCCTTTGTGCGGGTTTGAGCAGACAAGGGGCCTTATAAAGGGGTCTATAAGGGTTACTATAAGGGATCTATAGTATAGGGGCCTTAATCCTATAACTTACCTTTGATTAGTAGGGAATGGAGGAATGGGGTACAATTATGACTACTATTACTACCATTCTTCCATTCCCTACTAGCCAAAGGTAAGTTTTTGGGTATACTTTAACCACGCCGGTGGTGTCTTTATCTGTTCCGAATACTGCCTAATACAGCCCCCAATGAGCATCGCTATATAAGGTATACTATACTCTAAACGAATAATCAAATAAAAGGATACAGGGTGCAGGGCTCAGGGTGTTGGGCTTCGTGCTCAGGCTGCGGACTACGTTGACATCATAGCTTCATTGCTCGAACGCAGATCCTCTCTGCAACTTGAGGAGGATACATTCGCTGTCATCAGATTTCACGAATCGCCACAGCCAAAGCCGAAGAACCGAACCCCAAGCCCCACGCACCTCGAAAACCTGAAACTCTCAACTTCCCCGAGCCCCCTAAGCTCTAAAAGCCCTACAACCACTGCACCACCAACAACCCACGAAGCACATAATATAGGGGCCTTAATAATTAGAATAGGGGTTTGGGCCTATTATACTATAATCATATTAAGGAACCCCCACAATATTATAGGTAATTATTTAGGCCCCTATATTAATCCGAGGCACGGCGGCGCCAGCATCGGAGAAGTGGCCGGCTGGACAGCTCCTGATTAGTTGGCAGCCCGAGAATGATGGGTTTAGGGTTCCTTCAAGGAGTCCCTTCAAGGGGTCGCTTCAAGGGGTTCCTTCGTAAATCGTTCCAAAACGGAAGCTAAAGCGACAAGCCACAAAACATTGCAAAACCTTGAAGGTGCAAAAAAGGGGCCCACAGCTTGTCTTTCTGTTCCTTTTACGTCTTCCTTTTCACGGTTCCTTTAAGGGTTCCTTTAGGGTTTTGTTTCACGTTCTAACGACAGAAAGGGACCCTGAGCCGGACCTTAAGAAACTAAGATGATTACGACAAAGAACCCTCAACAATGTAATACGTGAGTTTATTGAAATCACCATGGCAAGCATGATGGTGCTGCCGACTCTGCTTCTACGACTGCTAACCATCACCAAAAGTTGCCACCAATAGGGTTTAGTGGCTCGGGAAGCTCATGACAGCAAGACCACCATCAGCGCGCAAGATGTGTGCAGCAGTAGGTAGAGTCTCAAGCTCGTGGGCTCGGAACCCTAGGGTCAAAGGAAGTTAGTCCCACTATATGTATGTGTAAGCGCATGCAATGAAGCCAATGAATTAGAGCTGCCCTGAGCAAGACGGGGTTGTCATGTGGACCTCTGCTGAACAGTAATCTTGGGCCTCAGCCTGCACTCTCTGAAATGCTGCAGCCCCAACCTAATCAAGCTCCTAAATGCACCAGCCAAACGTCTAAATGCACGACCCTGAACCCCTCAACTCCTGAAGCAAGACTCTAAGTCCCAGCGGCTTGCAGCTGAGACCTTGCGCGACCAGAAAGGCATCTTGGTACCTGCCCGCTGCACACGGCTCGCAGCTTTGCGCCCTCCGACGGCGAGTCTCGTAGCCCACCTGAAATGCACCAAAGCTTGCCCCAAATCGACAGGTGATTTGCTTCGTGTTTGAAGGCAAACCCTATGGCGCATGCCCTCTGCCTGAAAATCTCAAGCCTTGTTGCGTGAACCCTTACTTTAGAGCCTCCTTACGTTACCGTCTAAAGCCCCTTCACCCTAAACCAGGAGTACCTTCAAGCCTTTGACTCCGAACCGAGACCATGCTGAGCCCCAAAACCCTACACCTGCAAGCCCTAAACCCTAAAATCCGAACAGCTGAGACCCTAAACCCCAAAATAAACCTAAATCCCACAATCCCAAGCCCCTGGGACCCTGAAACCCTGAACCCTAAAACCCTGAGCCCTAAAACCCGGAACCCTAAAACCCTGAACCCTAAAACCCTGAGCCCTAAAACCCTGAAACCCTAAATCCTACTCCTAGAATCCTCAACCCTGAAACCCGAAAACCCTGAAACCCTAAATCCTACAATCCCAAAACCCCAAAACACCAAAACCCTAGAACCCTAAAACTGAAGCCTACAACCCTGAAAACCTAAAACCCCTAAAACCTTGAAGGAACCTCGAAAAGAACCCTTACTATAGTAACCTTTACAGGAACTCTTACAACCCTAAAACCTACAATCCTAAACACCCCCCCTAAAACTTATACAAAGCCCCAAACCCGAAACTTTATATAAAACCCTAAAACAACAAACTCCTTTGTAGAACCCTTACAGATCCTTTAACGGAGCCCTTATGGATCCCTTCAAATGAGCTCCTAAAACTCTAAAACTACACCCTATGATAGAGTCCTAGAGTACCCTTAAAGGGAACCCTACAACCCCCTAAGCCCTAAACCCTAAACCCCTAAACCCTAAACCCTAACACCCCTAAAGCCCTAAAACCGACGCCACCTGGCAGACTTTGCACGAAGGCCAGCCCTTCCTATCCGTGTAGAGGCCGGTGCCACAGGCGACCTGGGATCGGGCGACGTTCATGGGGCACTTTTAAGGGAGCTTTTTTGCTAGTGCCCTGCGCGCTTTTCCGCAGCGTGCTTCGGCGCTCGCTCAAAGGAACTCTTCAGGGCTCGATTTATTGAGGCGTACACTAGGTGTTGTCCGCGAGTTCCTTTACCAGGGTTTTGGGTCCAATGGTTCGGAAATGCCGTTGCGTTGTGGTCTCGATCCAGTTCGGCATGTTCATTCCCCTGCGTCTGCCCGTTACGACTATTCTATCTTTGTACGCTGCGCTGAAAACTACGTTGTGCAAGGGGTCGGAAACATCTCTGTAATAGACGGCTTCGCGGAGCTTGATCTGAGCGTTGTGGAGGAAACTAGAGGCCCTTGCTCTTGCTCTTGCTCCTTGTCCTTGCCCCATGCCCCCATGCCCCCATGCCCCCATGCCCCCATGCCCCCATCCCCCATGCCCCCATGCCCCCATGCCCCCATGCCCCCATGCCCCCATGCCCCCATGCTCCCATGCCCCCATGCCCCCATGCCTCCCTTGCCCTTGCTCTTGCCCTTGCCCTTGCCCTTGCCCTGGTGGGAGATACAAAAGAAAGAGCCGTTCACAATCAGGCTCCAACGGCCAATCGTCACACCACGATGCACTGCAAACTATACTGTCGCAAAATTATTCCGCTCATGCGCCTGCAGCAAAACCCTAAACCCCAACCCCTAAACCCTAATCCCAAAGCCTAAACCCTGTAAACTGCTTAACCCTAAACCCAAAACTAGGGCCGGGCCAAGGAGCGCATTGGTCCGAGCCGGGGGTCACGGGAACCGTTCCCGCCTCACAAGTCCGGTCGGGAGGCGTGAAACCTTCGGCCTTTGGGTTCGATTTCAGGGTCCCATTTAAGGGGTATTCTGGGGTTCTAGACTAGGGTCCCTCTTTAAGGGGTGCCAGCAAGAAGGGTCCCCTTTAAGGGGATTCTAAGGTTCTGGACTCGGATCCCCTTTGAGGAGTACTCTACGGTTCTAGGATTGGGTTCCCTTTACGGGTTCCTTTCATCATTTCTGCAAGGGATCTAGAAGGGATTGGGTTCAGCCTTTTACGTGCGGGAGTTGAGGTTTCGGCTGGGGTTCAGGGTTACTTGGAGGTTCGCGGGTCTAAGTCCCATGGTATGCGTTATTATTAAAGCGACCCCACTGATAGCCCCACTTAGATTTACCCATGAACCTCCAAGTAGAGGCTTGGAATTCAGGTCTTTGGGGTGTGGGGCTTCGGATGTGAGCCGAAGAGCAAGGCGGTCCCCAACCTTTGACCCCCTGAACCGCAAAGGTTCGAGTAGGGTTTAGGGTTTAGGGTTAGGGTTTGGGGTTTAGGGTTTGGGGTTTAGGGTTGCGAGAGTGATTGGAGACGAACATCAACGGCGTCTGCAAATAGTTTGCTGTCGGCAATTTGAACACTGACGGCCCCGCTGATGTTGCGACAAAACACATTATGACATTGAGATCCGAATTGGGCCACGTACATTGTAGATTACCAGACATACTGCTGATGGACAAAATCCTGCATGACCCTAAGGGCTCTAAACTATGGGAACTATGGTATATTCCTCATAAAGGGCAATGCAGGATTTTGTCCATCAACAATAGCATGAGAGAATCGGCCTCGCAAGCGCTGCAGCCGGGGCCAAACACGGGAGTATCGGTGCAGTAGAGCCTGACTGCTTCTCGGCGTACTGTTTTTAGTTTCAAGGGGCTAGGCATTTCAGAGTCTCGAGGTTTCACGGATTGAGCGTTCGGGAGCTTAGAATTGGCACTGAGGCTTTTCTAGGGCTCTCACGGCGATTCTAGGGCTTTCATGTTTGAGGGCTGGTTGGGTTAAAGGTTCAGGAACTGTCGAAAACCAAACCATAAACCGAAAACGACAAGCTGCTTTGCTTTGGTATTGCCTTGTCAGTCTGCCAACTGTTCTGGGAACCCCAGTAGTTTGTGAGTAGCAGCTTCATTTATCTTCGAGTCCTCACGAACCAGAGCCATACCTAGCCAAATATATAGACCTTAACACTTCGATTGGGGTGGAGTGTGGGGATACCTCATACTTTCATTGTTATATAAGGAACCCCAATATTCAAAATAGTGCAGGTAATTATTGAGGCTTCTATATGGTGGTTTCCGAGAAGGGGGGACCCTACTATAGTACCCTTCAATACCATAAGGACCCCAGAAAAAGGTACCCACCCGATTAGCTCCAAGAAAAACTCCAAACAATAGGACCCCAAAGTCTGCCAACCACTCAATCGATTTCAAATCGAAAGTTCAGAAATCTTGCAAAAACTCAAAAAAGCGGCATAAACATGCTTCCTTAAGCACGTATTACACCCTTTGCAAGACTCTGCTGGAACCCCAACTGGCCAAGAAAAAGGCCGAAGCACCGCTGCTGCTGGTATGCGAAGGACCAGTGGTGAGCAAAGAAATGGTCCCAGAAGTGCCTGTTACTCCTTGGTGCTTTCAATAACAGTCATAGTAAGGGTAGCATTAAGAATAAAACACGACAAATAGCAGTACGTAGTAGCAGTAGTAGCGGTGGTGGTAGTAGTAGTAGTAGTAGTAGTAGTAGTAGTAGTAGTAGTAATAGTAGTAGTAGTAGTAGTAGTAGTAGTAGTAGCAGTAGTAGTAGTAGTAGTAGTACCAGGAGTAGTAGTAGTAGTAGTAGTAGTAGTAGTAGTAGCAGTAGTAGTCGTAGTAGTAGTAGTAGTAGTAGTAGTAGTAGTAGTAGTAGTAGTATTAGTAGTTGGAGTAGGAGTAGGAGTAGGAGTAGGAGTAGGAGTAGGAGTAGCAGGAGTAGTAGCAGTAGCAGCAGCCGCAGCGGCAGCGGTAGCGGCAGGGGTAGCGGTAGCGGTAGCGGTAGCGGTAGCGGTAGCGGTAGCAGCAGCGGCAGCGGCAGCGGCAGCGGCAGCGGCAGCGGCAGCGGCAGCGGCAGCGGCAGCGGCAGCGGTAGCGGTAGCGGTAGCGGTAGCGGTAGCGACAGCCTGTGTGTGTGTGTGTCTTAGTTTTAGCCTCGGGGCTTCTGGCTTGAGAAGTGGGGATTTACACTTCGAAAAATATTAGCCGTCGTAATAAAAGAAGAATTATCATAACAAGCAAAGCAACGTTCGTGGCTTCGAGACGCGGAACCCTACACCCTCTGGTCGAGAATTGCTTCGACTTCCCACTTCAGGATTGCATCGAGGACAAAGCTTCACCATGTCTATTACAGGTGTGGTGGTTCTTCTACAGAGGCTCTGAAGACTAGAGGTTCCCCAAACCCTGAGGCCTTACGAGATTGGCATGTCTGTCGCGGCCGCCTTTGCCTCCGAAAGCATTCGCTACAATGCTGCACTTGTCCTGTGCGATATAGGGGCCTTAGTCGCTGAAATAGTTGCGGGATATCATGACTCCGACCCCTGCATCGCAGCCAACGAGCTGATACCAAATCTGCTGGTATGTAGCCATTTGCTACATCCCCAAACCCAAACGCCTTTAAGTCCTGCAAGACCCTAAACTCTACGGCTGTTCAAGCCATGACTCTCGACCCTCTGGTACACCATCCAGTTAGTAACGGGAAGTCGGGGCATATCAATGTCCGGATCCTTGTTGATCTCACCTGAGCGGTTGAGCTTCGGTACACACTTGCTGACATATAGTGTAAACGTCTGTGATAACCCCTTATAATCAAATCCTTCATCATCATAGTATCATCAAGTCCAGAACCCTGTGCCAGTTAACCTAGTTACTGAGGCCCTGTAGTGCAGCTTTACTATATCCACTATAACCAGTCTCTCTAGCATCATAGCCACAGTATAAATCAACGCCCCAGCCCTGTTCTAGTCCTTGCAGCTTTAAGAGAGCTGCAAGACACGACCCAGAGACGGTTTAAGCTTCAGGATCCTGCTCATAGGGTAGGGTTTAGGGTTTAGGGTCCTTCCTGCTCCTAGGGTAGGGTATGCAAAAAAGGGCTCAGGCTCTAAAGACTCGCGACGGGCCGAATTTTACCGAAAGCGAAGTGCCCCCAACCTGGAGTCCCAGCCTAAAGCCTCAACCCCTAAACCCTAAACCCTAAAACCCATAAACCCTAAACCCTAAACCCCTAAACCCTAAACCCCTAAACCCTAAACCCTGAACCCTCTAGCCCTCAACCCTAAACCCTGAACCCTAAACCCTAAACCTTAACCGGATACCGAGCGACTCTGCCAGGGAAAGTTGGTGGAGTGGTGCGCATTCACAGGCCCCGTCTTGCACCATCGAAGCATCCTTGACAGCTTAGAGTTTAGGGCTGAGCTCTCGCTCTCACTCGCTCTTCTAAGTGCCCTAAACCTTGCAGAACACCACGCCCTGATGGCGTGTATTTCACAAACCTTGAGGCCCTACACCCTGAACCCCCTGATCCTTTCAGCAACTCAACAGCTTTGCGCAAATTCCGCCAGGCATCCAGCCTTCCTTCGTAAAGTAGGCCATCCCTGTAAGAACTCGATCGCTCTGGTGATGTACCAAGAGAGGTTCCCTTCGAGGGTCTGTAGCCCAGCCCCACCAATTGACATCCTGAGCTGTTTCCACCAGTCCGCTGCATCACGTTTAGCAGTACACACATGAAGAGACAAACGTCCGATATCCAAGGCCAGTGCTGAACCTGGAGCCCGAAACCCTTTAAAAGGAACCCCATTTTAGAACCTTAAAGTACCCTGAAATGGAACCCTATTACGAGGGAATCCTATGATAGAATCCAATAGTACCGGTAAAGCGAACCCTATTCTAGAACCCAATCACACCCCCAGAGACTCCAGTATTCCTTCATTAAGGAACATACCCCTAAATGATATGAGGGATCCTACTATATTTTGACGCATGTTCCTCAAAACAAGGATATTGGAGTCCCCTAAACCCTAAACCCTATAGATCCCTGAAAGGATCCCTTTAAGGAACCCTAGGTATTCCTTAATTAAAAAATATCGGAGGCTCTGGGCCCCTACTAGTAAAGGTCTTCGGGGCCGGAAGAGGGGACTCCTTAGGTACGGCCCCCACTCAGTAATAGCTGAATAATAATCATAGTACAGATATAGTAGGACCTTAATTGTAGCCCTATAAAAGACTCTTCCTTAAACCCTAAACCCTAAACCCTAAACCCTAAACCTTTATTGTAGCCCTATTATAGACTCTTACTGCACGGGGGCCGTAGCTGAAGGGACTCCATGGGACCTGAACAGTTCTGGAAGGTCTTCGAAGTCTGGGGCTCGGGATTGGCCCTGAAATCCTACAGGGGCTGAGTTCTTAGGGCTTAGAGGGTTTAGGGGTTTAGGGTTTAGGGGTTTAGAGGTTTAGGGGTTTAGAGGTTTAGGGGTTTAGAGGTTTAGGGGTTTAGGGTTTAGGGGTTTAGGGTTTAAGGTTTAGGGTTTACGGCCTGGGGCTTAGTTTGGGCTCAGGATTTGTCCTGCGGCTTTTAAGCAGCACCGCCACATGGAAGTTTCCGACAGTTAGGGGTACCTTATTTGGGGGTGCCTATAAAAAGGATCCTACTATTTAGGGTACTATATTAGGGCCCCCTGTTTTCGGAAACTCCCACATACTAAACACCTCTCCCCACCGGAACGCTGACGAAGCATCCATGTAGACCCAAGCTGGCCCATCCACTGCAGGACCTTCCCAATTATGACCTGGGCATCGACGTGTAAACTGTTGTTTGTTCATAACGGCTCCTTTAGGAACATGCCCCAAAACCCTTAACCCCTAACCCCTAATCCCATAAACCCTAAAAGCAATAAAGACTGGTACTCCAGAGCCCAGTGACCGTTCCGCCTTTCTTTCGTCCAGAAGCCCGAGGCCGTTTGATGCGATCCAGCAGTCCTGCCAGGAAGTTGAGCGTTTAGGCCCTAAACCCTAAACCCCTAAGGGTTCAGGACCCTTAACCCTTAATCAGGGCTGAAGGTTGAGGGTGTAGGGTTGAACGTGAGCGCTTAGGGCTAAGGGTTCACGGCTTGAGGGTGTGGGCTCTAAGGGTTGGCGCCCGGTGAAGCAAAACTGCTGTTGCACACGATTTAGGGCTTAGGGTTTAGAGCTTAGAGTATGGGGTTCATTATTCCGTGCAGCTTCGTTCAGCTGATGTTCGTGTTGCTGCTGCAGCCGATCAGCACGAGTTCTTGATGTGCACGGAATGGCTCCTCTTTGAAAATACGAGAGCCATGAAACCCTAAACCCAAAACCCCAACCCTACCATTAACCCCCAAAACTTATAACAGCACCCTGACAACCGGGAAGGAATGGCCAGAATAGGGTTTCGGTGGTATAGTATACTCTTTTTCTAATAAGCAACCCCAAGGAGGTACTTACGAGGCTTCTAAATTACAAGGGTTAAAAGGGTTCCACAAGGCCCCTAAACTTATGAGGATACTTATTTAGGCTTCCCAAAAGGGCCAACATTGGTCTTAATTCAGCCAAACCCTGACCAAACCTTGGGTACTGCCCCCACAGTATAAGAGTCTATGCTGTTAAGGGCCAGATATATCATAAGAGTCTTTCTTAGGGCCACTATTCAGGGCCTTCTATATCAAAAGTATCCAACCTAAACGCTCTACCCGAAACCCCCAATGCCCCATGTCCAGTAGCAACCATGCTCGAGCTTGATGCCGCAAATTGCACGGCACCGCCTCAGCTTCTGACGCGCAGCCACAATCCAGAAGATTACGAGACTAGAGACACTTATGGGTTTAGGGTTTCGGGTTTTGGGACTCAAGGGTTTGAGAGCAGTAACCCTGAACCCTAAAAACTACATCTAACCCCCCCGTCTCTGAAGAAGAGTCCTAACAAAGGACCGTGGTTTTTTTGCGGGAATCTCCCAGGCCCTTGAAAGTAATAGGGTCCCCGGAGACTCCAGTATCCCTTGACAAAGGAATATACCTTAAATATATCAGGGGTCCTTCTATAATTTAGGGAATATTCCTTAGTTAAAAGATATTGGAGTCTCTGGGCCTCCATTGGTTTCATCTAGAGGCCCTCAGACGAGCAGTGAGGCACTTAATAACCTGATGTCCGAATACAAAGGCCCTCAAGGAAGAAAGCAAGAGGGGAGTCCTAACAACTGAAATTAACGCCGCCGAAGAAACAAGAAGGGTCGTAATTAAGGAGCTGACAAGATACCAAAAGCACTTAAGCAAAGAGCAAGGATGCCAGTACCCTTAAAGTAAGGTTCAGACACAGGCCTGGTGGAACAAGAAAGGACCTTGATCCTGTGTATGAGACAAACTTGTACGACACCTTCTTCCCATAGCCAAATATAAAACGCATAAAAACCCCAAACCCGTATTTAATAAAAACCTTACAGCATCCTTGAAAACGGTGTAAAACCCCAGCTCAAAGATTCCGGGGCCCCTAAACCCTACGCGCGAAGATGTTGCAGTGCTTGAAAGGGTTCCGGGGTTCAGGGTTTAGGGTTGAGGGCTCCGCAGTCTCCCCTTGATAATACGGGTATCCCGTTTGCTGGTGTTCAGCTTGAACCAGGGAAGGGTAAAAGGGAAAGGGCAACAGGGCACTACCTGTTAACCTAGGTTCTTAAGTTCTTATGGGGCTTCAATACTTCGAAACTGCTGCTGAGGTCTCTTGTAATCGAATCTAGTTCATGGTCGGGATAGTACCAATATCTGTTATCTATTATCAGTTCCTTATTGAGTTTACAAATCCATGGACAATTGAAATGTACCCAAATATGACAAAGGAATTCTCTCAGGGATGCTTGGGGGGCTGCTAGGTGTTGTTATCAGGAGTAGTCAGACCTTTATGTTGCAAACCCCCCATGAAACATGACGTGCAACTAGCTCAACCCGCAAATGCCCTACTTGGAGGTTCAGGGGTAGATATAAGTGGGGTTATAAGTGGGGTAACTATAGTTATAACCCGTATTAAAGGACTTATAGCCCCACTTATAACTACCCATGAACCTCCAAGTAGACTATAAAAAACACAGAGCCGGAAGCCCTCAAACTAGACCCTAGCCCCCAAACCCCCCAGCGACAGGATCTTATACAGAATCCTGAAACCAAAGTCCTAACTCTCACAAACCTAAAACGTCAAAGCCCGGAAACTTAAACCCTAAACCCTTAAATCCTGAAACCATCTGAAGCGCCAAAACCCCAAAACCCTGAAGCCGTAAAACCCCGAACACCTAACACCCTCGGGGCTACTAGGCACGGAACCCCCAAGCCAAAAGCCCAACTCCGTCCAGCGGCAAGGTGAGAACCGGATGATTGCCGCTTGTCGCGGTCCGGCCAAAAGCGATCCTCGGCTGTGCTTTGGTTTCGGGTTTAGGGTTTAGGGTTGCATCTTGAGTTGTCTCCTACATGGGAGTTTCCAAAAACGGGGGACCCTAATATAGTAGCCTAAATGGTAGGATCCTTATTATAAGGACCCCTATAATAAGGAAACCCTAATTTTCGGTAATTCGCACATCTTGAAGAGGGCTTAGATTTTAGGGCTACATCTTTGAAGGGGCCTGGGGGATTTGTTCATGTTGCGGCGTTGTGTCTGGGTGGCTCCGGGGTGTAGAGATTGGAGCTTAAGGGCTTTGGGATGCTTTGGACCGCCGAGAAACTGTGATCGCATGACTATCACAACGTAACTATAGGGACATTCATGGAACATAGGGGAAGAGTATCACTAGTAACTCAGGTGTCTCCATTAGAGACATGCGGATGATGAACGCATTGGAAGTGCGACGCATGGAGTCAGGAAGAGATCCGGATATGGGTTTGGGGTGTAGGGTACAGTATGTGTGCATTGTGCATGTACTCATGTATGTACGTATATAAGCTTGCATGCGTGTGGCAAGTGGCTTCGAGTTGCCATCCTCCCAGACCCCGCGCTGTAAGTCAGAGATCCATCCTAGCAATGAGTAGAGCAAGCCTGCAACCTAAACTCGAAAATCCTAAACCCTATACCCTAAACCCTAAACTCCACAACCCTAAACTCCAAAATCCTTAACCCTGAAGATGATAAGCTGGTCTACTAGGGTGGCTTGCAACCCATGCCTCCAAGCGGAGCACTTTTATTCTCATGCCAAATCCTAAACCCGCCCCTATGAGACACGAATTAGTAGAGAATCCTGGTGCCAACTGCTCATGATAAAAATCCTGCATTACCTTGAGGACCGGAAACTACGGGAATTATAGCATGTTCCTTGTAATGGGTCATGCTGGAATTATATCATCAACCGAAGGACCCTAAAGAATCCAATCCACTCTTCAAGCAATCAATCCGATGGAAAATCAAATCCTCTAACATGCTCTGAAACCCTGTAAAAAGTATTAGAACCATAGTTCGAAGTTCAGGATTAGAGTTAAGGGTGCGAGGCTAGAGCATTAAGCTTTAAGGCTTATGGTTGAGGGTTTCAGGTTTAGGGTTTAGGGTTTAGGTTTAGGGCTTAGGGCTTTAGGGTTGAGGGTTTCAGGTTTGCTGGGAGGATGTTCGTAAGTCCCAAATTGGGGTATTAGAACTACACTTACCTTACTTCATGACCATAGCTACCAAGTCCCGTGATCGTTTAAGTGAGGTTTGGGGACCACGGCCAGGTAACTGCTCAATGACCTCACCTTGACCGCAGGTGGCATACCCACAGTTGTCATGGCCGGTATAATATCCGCTGCAAGTGACGGACACCTGGGATCAGAGCTGGCGGATCCGACATCTATACCCTAACTGATATAGAAGCCAGAATAATGCTACAGATATTCTTACTCAGGGCTTGCTTAATGTATTTATACTACTGCAACATACCCAAAAACCCGGTTCTAAATACTGAGGGTCCTAGATTAGTCGAAGTCTTTCCGTCATGAATCCTGAAAGGACTTCGGGTTGGGGTTTAGGATTAGTGAGGGTTTAGGATTGAAGTTGTAGGGTGCCCGAACCTGCCCCTCGAACTTCTAAGCCTCCGAAGCCACGATCCGGAATCACCGCTAAAACCAACCGACACCGCGAACATTAGAATCGGGCTTTGGTGAGTTTGAGGTTTGTCAGAATATGATATAATTCAAGTCCCTGAACTTAAATCCTAAACCCTAAACCCTAACAAGGAGCCCCAATGAGTAGTCTGGCAAATCAGTCCGACCTCGGGTTTATCCTGACCTTGGGTTTCAACTCCTAAACTCTCGAAGAACCCCCACAAGCATTCAATATCTGACACTTTAGGGTTTAAGGTTCCGAGTGCCTAAACTCCAGGAACCCCCAAAAAACCCGAAACTAAACATCCTTTCCACCCTGGAAATGCCAGATGTGCAAAATCTCCTGCAGCTCCGGTCGAGTCTAGCGACGTCGTTATAGAGCTGCCCGAGCGTCACCGGCTCGCCCTTCGAGCCACAATAGTTGTGAAACTCATTCCTGGCAGTCGATGGTTTAGGGTTTTGGGTTTTGGGCTTGGGGTTTAGGTTTCGGATTCCAGGGTTTAGGGACTCCCCTAACAGTCAACCGTGTCCAGAAGTTCAAGTGCTTAAATGGCAAGTGCCAGCCAAGAGAAGGCCAAGACTCTTGGCGTTCTTGTAGGGATTCCAGATGCCTTGAGGATCCCTTGGCGCTTTAGGGTTTGGGGTGTAGGGTTTAGGGTTTATGGTTTAGCGTTTGGGGTTTAAGGTTCAGGGTTTAGGGTTTAGGGGCTAGGGTGCTTTTGGGGGGGGTGGTCTAGGATTTGTTGTCTAGGAATTTCGGATTGGGGTTTAGCTAGGGTTCGAGGTTTTGGGTTAAGGGTTTCTGGCTTTTTCGGTTCAGAGTTCATGCAGGTATACGAAACTGACGAACATCCCAAAACACCAAACGGAACCAGCTTTCCAATTCCGGCCATGGCTTCTGATTGCTGCTGTATTGGTTGTAGTTCATCACGACGTAGCCTCAGCTGGCGAGATTCCTGGTGAACCAAACTGCATGCCCCTCACCTACACCCCAAGATCACAAGACCCCCTGGGCCCTTCTTGTCCAGACCCTGAAGCCCTGAACCCCAAACCCTAAACCCTAAGCCCTGAACCCTAAACCCCAAACCCCCAAACCCTACGCCCTACACCCCAAACCCTAAACCCTAAACCCGAAAACTCTGCCTTTTTCATTATCAAGCAGCTGGAACGCCGGCGGTTTGAGGCTGAGGTGTCGCCTGGGACCCCCACACCAAGTCACCGGTGGCTTTTCAGGTTTAGGGTTTAGGGGTTACGGTTTTCTGTGGTATGGAATTTGGCGCTTCCTGTGTCAGGGTTTATGGTTTAAAGCCTACGGCTTTGGGTTGTTGGGATTTCGAGTTTAAACTTAGGATCTATGGTATGGTACTTGAGCTTAGACGCTTTGGGAGCGTTGTCGGTCCGGGGTTTCGGGCTGTGGGGTTGTAGTACAGGCTTTGAGGGCTTGAGATGGCATACTTGCCTGCCTAACCAAAGCCATCCCCAAACCCACATGCTGGATCTAAACCCTAAACCCCCAAACCCTAAACCCGAAGCCCTAAGCCCCCAAACCCCTAAAGCCTGACCATTAATACCGAAAACCCAATCGACACACTGCCAACTTTCCTAACGCAGTAGCCCAGTATCACCATAATATCGGCGCCTGCATCGCTTGAAGAGGGCTTTGGGGGTGTACTACACACTGCAGATACTGCAGTTCCATTTCTGAAGAAACCATAATAGAGGCCGCTCTACTTCTTCAGGCCCCTAAACCCTAAAGCCTATCTTAGGAGGTGCGTTTAAAGCGTTTGAAAAACACTAGGAAATACGATCCCTTAAGCCCGATAAGAGCAAACAGAAAACGTCCCAAAGCCCTAAATAGTATCTTAGATTCTAAAGAGCGACCCAGTCGCGAAGGTTCTGCAGCATCGACGCATTGGGGCCGAAGATGTCGAAGTCGGCCAAATTTGGCATTTCGAAGTCGGAGGTGTGGTTCAGGTCCTGTCAGCATGAAGCAAGCTTAGGGCTTAGGGCTTCAGGGGTTTAGGAGTTTAGGGTTTTGTGTAAAGGATTCAGCGTTTAACAGTGTTGTAACTAGAATAGGGTTTTGCTGGACATTATACGCTAAATATAACTGATAAGGAGCCACAGCAGCAGGATGTATAGTACTTTAGGACGTCAGGATCACCACTCGTGGGCTTGAACGCTGACAACGATTGCTGGGCTTTGTAGTAACCAGGATAGACGCTTATTTCAGAGTCCCTTTAAGTACCAGGTCGAAAAAGACGTGTTAAAGTCTGGAACTCCAAAGCCCAGATGTTCTTGTCTTCGAGGTTTGTTGATTCGAGGCATTGACCACAAATTTGCCGCCCGTGCGAGGTTTAGGGTTTAGGGTTTACGGCCCAATGCGTGAAAAAGATTACCATGCAGAAATCTCTCCCGATGACGACTTCTCGGCAGTTGCGATCGGGCGTCTACACGCGTCATACTCGTACCTTTAGGGTTTTGGGGTTCCTGGAACATCAGGTACCAGTGCATCCATGCTGGGGAACTTGCTAGCTCGCGGTACCTACAGAGCAGCCAGAAATCCAAAGGTGCCGCAGTCCCTGTTTTGATCATCGGGCTTCGGGCTTGGGGTTTAGGGGTTGGGGGTTTGAGGATTTAGAGGGGCTTAGGGTTTTAGGGGTGTAGAGGTTTAGGGTTCACGGTTTAGGGGTTAGGGGTTTACATAGATGAGGTTTAGGATTTTTTGCGGTTGCATCGGCCCGGCGGGGGTGCAGCGACCAAGCAATGTACCGGCCTCTTGTAAGTAGAGACACTTGAGTTAAGTTTCCGGAATACTGATCCAATGATTAAACTACGTATGTGGCTTCCTTATTATTAGCAAGAGCCCGCAAAACCAGCCCGAAATCCCAACACCCCAAAGCCGTTAAGGATCCAACATGTGCAACCCTAAATGACACAACCTGAACCCTCAGATCCGATCCCAAACCCCCAAACATCCTAAAACCCCACTACCCAAGACCCTGAACCCCAAAAACCCTGCTCCATGGAAACCCGGAGGTGCCGCAGGCCATCTTTTGATCATGTAAGGTTTAGGGTTCGGGGGTTTAGGGTGCAAGATTTCGGGTTTCCCAACACCCTGCTCCACCCCAACTGGACCCCAAGAAGTTACCCTGAACCCTAAACCCTAAACCCCTAAACCCCTAAACCCCTAAACCCCTAAACCCCTAAACCCCTAAACCCCTAAACCCCTAAACCCCTAAACCCCTAAACCCCTAAACCCCTAAACCCCTAAACCCTAAACCTCTAGACCTCTAAACCCTAGACCCCTACACCCGAAAACCCTAAAGCCCTAAACACTAAAACCCTAAACCCTAAACCCCTTAACCCCTAAAGCCCTAAGACCCTAAACCTCTAAACCTCTAAACCCTAAACCCTAAACCCCTAAACCCTAAACCCCTAAACCCCTAAACCCCTAAACCCCTAAACCCCTAAACCCTAAACCTCTAAACAACTAAACCCCTAAACCCTAAACCCCTAAACCCCTAAACCCCTGGACCCCTAAAGCCCTAAACCCTAAACCCCTAAACCCTAAACCCCTAAACCCCTAAAGCCCTAAACCATAAACCATAAACCTCTAAACCCTAAACCCCTAAACCCTAAACCCCCAAACCCCTAAACCCCTAAACCCCTAAACCCCTAAACCCCTAAACCCTCCCTGCGGGTTCACTTCCAAGAGTGGTTTCGACTCGTTGTTTTTCGGAATTTCGTGTTTTTGTTTCAGGGGAAGACAAAGGTTTTGAAAAGATTATGTTCAGGTAGATTGCAGTCAGTTCACGGTTTTCACTTGAGTTGCCACTGTAAGTCCCATCTCTGCAACTGAATGCCTTGAGGCTGGGTTCACAAGTTAGCCCGAGTCATTTCAGGCGGAGCCAGGTGAAAGAGACGACATGGCGAAATCACACCCCCCCAACCCCCCCCACCCCATCCCCACCCCAGAAAACAAGCAGAAATGCGGCACACATTGCTGCCAAACGCGCATAGCGCGTTTGGTCTTGCGGAGTCCTTTCTATGCTGTGTTCAGAAAGCCGAGGCACACAATGCCACTACTTCGAACACCTGCAAATAGCGGCATTTCAAGCACTTTCTGTAGCATGCAGGACAAGTCCCGGCCGCAGTAAGCAGTGAAACCCCCCAAAAACGCACCATTGCAATTGAACCCGCTAGCTAAACCCTAAACCTCTAAACCTCTAAACCCTAAACCCATAAACCCCTAAACCCCTAAAGCCCTAACCCTAAACCTCTAAACCTCTAAACCTCTAAACCTCTAAACCTCTAAACCTCTAAACCTCTAAACCTCTAAACCTCTAAACCTCTAAACCTCTAAACCTCTAAACCCCAAACCCCTAAACCCTAAACCCCTAAACCCCTAAACCCCTCAACCCCTAAAGCCCTAAACCCTAAACCTCTAAACCTCTAAACCCTAAACCTCTAAACCCCTAAACCCCTCAACCCCTAAAGCCCTAAACCCTAAACCTCTAAACCCTAAACCCCTAAACCCTAAACCCCTAAACCCCTAAACCCCTAAACCCCTAAACCCCTAAGCCCTAACCCTAAACCTCTAAACCTCTAAACCCTAAACCCTAAACCCTAAACCCCTAAACCCCTAAACCCCTCAACCCCTAAAGCCCTAAACCCTAAACCTCTAAACCTCTAAACCCTAAACCCCTAAACCCCTAAACCTCTCTTTCACATGTATATTTAAACCTTAATGGAATTCGTGAACAAGGCCAAAACTTTTCGTCAACAAGGCCATTTCGACCCAACCTTCATGGAATTCGTGAACAAGGCCAAAACTTTTCGTGAACAAGGCCATTTCTGGGAGGCGGAATTCGTGAACAAGGCCAAAACTTTTCGTGAGCCATTTCTGGAAGTTTAAGGGTTCAGGGTTTAAGGGTTCAAGGTTTAAGGGTTTAAGGGTTCAGGGTTTAAGGGTTTAAGGGTTCAGGGTTTAAGGGTTCAGGCTCAGGGTTTAAGGGTTCAAGGTTTATAAGGGTTCAGGGTTTAAGGGTTCAGGGTTTAAGGGTTCAGGGTTTATAAGGGTTCAGGGTTTAAGGGTTCAGGGTTTAAGGGTTCAGGGTTTAAGGGTTCAAGGTTTAAGGGTTCAGGGTTTAAGGGTTCAGGATTTAAGGGTTGAGGGTTCAAGGTTTTAAGCTGCGAAAGAAGTGAAACTTTGTATTTTCTCAATGTTATGGGATTCTGAGGGTGGGTAGGTGGTTTTCCTAAACCCTAAACACGACTCTACTTTAAAACTGCTCGATCCGGAGCTGCTGAACCCTAAACCCCTAAAGCCCCAAAGCCCTAAACCCTAAACCCTAAACCTCCAAACCTCTAAACCCTAAACTGGAGCGAGCCGCGGGCGCTGCCTTGGCCAGCGGCGAGCGACACCGCGTGGCGACAGGCCCGCGGACGACGAGGGCGAGGGGCCGTAGCGCGCGATGAGCGCGGCCCACGCATGGAAGGTCGAACCGGCGTGCCAGCGACAGGCTGGCTGCAAAGAGAATTACCCTAAACCTTACGTTTTTAAATCTTGACCTTAACCATCCTCCGTTGTTTAGGGTTCCACTAAGGGCTCCGTTTAGGATTTCCTTCGTTTAAGGTTCCGGTTTAGGGTTACTTTCAGGATTCTCGTTTAGGGTTCCGTTTGGGGTTCCGTTCAAGGTTCCTTTTAGGGTTCCGTTTAAAATTTCCTGCGTTTAGGGTTCCGTTTAGGGTTCCCTTTAGGATTCTCGTTTAGGGTTCCGTTTAGGATTCCTTTTAGGATTCCCTCCAGCCCCCCCCACCAGAGCACCCCCGCCAGAGCCAGAGCCCCCACCAGAGCACCCCACCAGAGCACCCCCACCAGAGCACACCCCACCAGAGCACCCAACAGAGCACCGGCCTTGCAGAGCCCCACCAGAGCACCCCCACCAGAGCACTCAGCACCAGCCGGCCCCCACCAGAGCACCCGGAGGGATAAACCGAGATTTTGGGTGGGCATTTTTGATGATGAATTCTGTTCATAAGAAAGCACTTTTAATTAGGCTGGGGGGCGAAGTCGGGGTTCCCCGCATTCTGGGCAGGGCGAGCACCCCTGCCAGAGCACCGGCATTTGGCACTACTCAACCCCCCGCCAGCAGCAGCCGCCCCCCACCAGAGCATCCCCGCCAGAGCCGCAGGTATAAACCGAGATTTTGGATGGTATATTGGATAAATTCTGTTCACAAAAAAAGACTTTTAATTAGGCCGGGGGCCGAGGTCGGGGTCCCCTTACTCTGGGCAAGGCGAGCACCCCCGCCAGAGCACCGGCATAAGGCACTCAGCCCCCCGCCAGAGCACCAGCCGGCCCCCACCAGAGCACCCCGCCAGAGCCAGAGCCATAAACCTTTCAAAGAAACAACCCCAACCACCATACCCCGCCAGAGCCAGAGCCATAAACCTTTCACGGAAACAACCCCAACCACCATTGAAAACCCTAAACCCGTCAAGGTTGAGATGTGGGTGGGTGGGTTGGGCAGGCAGGTGAACCCAGGCGCACACCACGACACACGTCCCGCGTGGTGGTGTGCGCGGAACGTCGGAAACCCCTATATACCCTAAACCCCTACCTAAACCCCTAAACCCTCAACCCCTAAACCCCTAAACCCCTAAACACCTAAAGCCCTAAACCCTAAACCTCTAAACCCCTAAACCCTAAACCCCTAAACCCCTAAACCCCTAAAGCCCTAAACCTCTAAACCTCTAAACCCTAAACCCCTAAACCCCTAAACCCTAAACCCCTAAACCCTGAACCCCTAAACCTCTAAACCCCAAACCCTTGAAGCCCTAAACCCTAAACCTCTAAACCTCTAAACCTCTAAACCCCTAAACCCTAAACCCCTAAACCCCTAAACCCCTAAAGCCCCAAACCCTAAACCTCTAAACCTCTAAACCCTAAAGCCCTAAACCCCTAAACCCCTAAACCCTAAACCTCTAAACCTCTAAACCCTAAACCCTTAACCCTAAACCCCTAAACCCCTAAACCCCTAAACCCTAAACCTCTAAACCTCTAAACCCTAAACCCCTAAACCCCTAAACCCCTAAACCCCTAAACCCCCTAAACCCCTAAACCCCTAAACCCCTAAACCCCTAAACCCCTAAACCCTAAACCTCTAAACCTCTAAACCCTAAACCCCTAAACCCCTAAACCCCTAAAGCCCTAAACCCTGAACCTCTAAACCTCTAAACCCTAAACCCCTAAACCCTAAACCCCTAAACCCTGAACCCCTAAACCCCTAAACTCCTAAAGCCCTAAACCCTAAACCCTTAAAGCCCTAAACCCTAAACCCTAAACCTCTAAACCTCTAAGCCCTAAAGCCCTAAACCCCTAAACCCCTAAACCCCTAAACCCCTACACCCTAAACCTCTAAACCTCTAAGCCATAAACCCCTAAACCCCTAAACCCCTAAACCCCTAAGCCCCTAAAGCCTTAAACCCTAAACCTCTAAACCTCTAGAACCTAAACCCCTAAACCCTAAACCCCTAAAGCCCTAAACCCTAAACCTCTAAACCTCTAAACCCTAAACCCCTAAACCCTAAACCCCTAAACCCGTAAAGCCCCACACCCTAAACCTCTAAACCTCTAAACCCTAAACCCCTAAACCTCTAAACCCTAAACCCCTAAAACCTAAACCCCTAAACCCCTAAACCCCTAAACCCCTAAACCCTAAACCTCTAAACCCCTAAACCCTAAAGCCCTAAACCCCTAAAGCCCTAAACCCTAAACCTCTAAACCTCTAAACCCTAAACCCCTAAACCCCTAAACCCCTAAATAAAGCCCTAAACCCTGAACCCCTAAAACTCAAAACCCTAAACCCCCAAACCCTAAACCGTTAAACCCCTAAAGCCCTAAACCCCTAAACCCTAAACCTCTAAACCTCTAAACCCCTAAACCCTAAACCCCTAAACCCCTAAAGCCCTAAAGCCCTAAACCCTACACCTCTAAACCTCTAAACCCTAAACCCCTAAACCCTAAACCCCACCTGCATCTCCGCTTGCACAGAGGAGTCCAAGTCGACTGTTTTCTCGCCTTGAATGCACACGGGACTGAGGGTTTAGGGTTTGGGTCTCCTTTAAAGGGATCTCTAAGGGTTCCGTAAAAGGATCTATAAGGGTTCTATAAAGGGTTTAGTGTTTAGGGTTCAGGGCTTAAGACTCTGATGCTACAAGTAGGGTTCAGGGTTTGGGGGTGTAAGGGTTTCGGAGTTTCGTCGAATCTCTAAGCTCATCGAGGGTTGTCCTTCAATCTTGGTGTCGCTACCACTGAAAAGGCAACCACGACAGATTGGGTCATCCTCCAGGAGGCCTAATACAAATAGACTTCAGGGATACTTTAGCTTGGCATTTGTGGGGTTAGGCCGAACCTCAAACCCTAAACCCCGAAATCCTGAGCGCCAAGGAACTCATTTTGGCCCCGTCACCTTCTGCTGAGGTGACTTGCAGGGCTTGCACGGCTCGCTGCCGCGCCCTGGCCTGAAGGGGGTTGAGGCTGAGACTCTGTGGGCTGATCACGGTTCAAGATCTTTGGGGTTTAGGGGTTTAGGGTTTAAGCGTTTATTCAGAGTTTAGGGGGCTATAACAATAGTTACCCTAGGTATAACTCCTCTTATAACTGCCCATGGACCTCCAAGTAGACCACCTAACCCTATACCCTTCTAGAATCCCTATAGATCCCTACCCATGAACCTCCAAGTAGACCCTTTAGGGATGGAAGCCTGGCCTTCTGGAAGGTCAGTGCCCGCGGCTCGGACACTGCGTCACAAGCTTCCTCCGTTTGTGGCCACGGGCTTGGCTGTTTCAGGTGAATATAGGGGTCTGAATGACTGTTTTACTAGGATTTTGGGGTCCGTTATACTATAAGTATGATAGAAACCTCCGAAGTACTACAGGTAACTGTTAAAAGCCCCTATATTAGGCTTACGGATTCAGGCTGCCAAACGCTCAGAAATCGCTTCCCAAGCTGCCACAACTCCCGAAAAAAAAACAAGACCACTGACCACACCAACCGCCCGGAAACTCTTTGGTTTTAGGCTTTGTGAAGCCGATCCAATGGCAGAACGAGTTTCTGCCAACTGGCATCGGGCATCGCTCCAGGTTGTATAAAAGTGGCAGTTCAAAGTCTCACCGCCTCAGTAGTAGTAGTAGTAGTAGTAGTAGTAGCAGCAGGAGTAGTGGTGGTGGTGGTGGTGGTGGTGGTGGTGGTGGTGGTGGTGGTGGTGGTGGTGGTGGTGGTGGTGGTGGTGGTGGTGGTGGTGGTGGTAGTGGTAGTGGTAGTGGCAGTGGCAGTGGCAGTGGCAGTGGCAGTGGCAGTGGCAGTGGCAGTGGTAGTGGTAGTGGTAGTGGTAGAACATGAACTGACTCTGCTTCTGAGACAACCACTGCTGCAGGTGCTGCTACTTTGACGACGACTCCTCTACTACTACCACCACCGCTTTGCTGGTTGGAAAAGGTTGCAACCCTGGTTGAACGACTTGTAATAACAGACATTTGGACATGCCTGCGAGCAGTGACCTCCTGAAACTAAGGACGAATCGAATTTGCCTAAACCCTAAACCCTAAACTCAGCGCATGAATCGTGACGGTGGGCATCTCTGCTGGCAACTGCCGTCCGTGGCATCGAAGAAAACGGTGCGGCAGGCCGTTCCGCCGGAGTGGAACACAAACTCGTGCCCCAAGGTTCTTGGCAAGGGTCGCTCATGTAGGGGGCCGGAATTAGTAAAAACTGTGTTCGGAAGTCTACTATAGCACAAAAAAAAGCGGGAAGCGATGGAATCACTTGGCTGATTCTTCCGGCCTCAATGTTAGGTTTATTGCGCTTTCAGGCTCCAGGCTCCAGAATGTGGAAAGCAGAAACTGAGGCTTGAGTGCGAAGGGAGTCTGCCGTTAGCTCGGCTGTGGTGTTCAGGGTTTTGGGTTTGAGAACTTGGGGTTTAGGGTTTAGGGAGCTTAAGGCCTTTTGGTTGAACGACGCTTTCCGTCAGCCCGAAGCTCAGGAGCTCAGGGTTTAGGGTTTAAGATAGGGGCCTTAATAATTAGAATAGGGCTTTGGGGCCCATTAGACTACAACTATAATAGGTAATCATTTAGGCCATTGTATTAGGGTTTACAGTAGGGCTTCACAGCCGGAGTTTCGTGTCGTGTTTTCAGGCAAATCTTCGAAAAGAACTTCCTGGGCTGCCAAGGAAGCCAAGCGACGCTTGAAAACCACTGAAGACTAAGCCGAATCCCTTTGCCTAGGGTCTGCGCAACGAAGGTCTGCTCTGCCGTCATGACCATGCTGTCCCTGGCACTCGAAGTATCCTGGGCTGGTCCTAGAGAGCCCAATACCCTTCAATTAGGAAATGCTCCGTCGACTCTCGACGAAAGAGCGATACTTTGTATAACGACCTTCGCAGAAAACCCGAAAAATGTCCTGACGAGAAGCCACCAATAGAAACTCCTGACCTCATGAAGCCCCTACTTATGATGTTCGGTACATGGCTCAGCGAAAGGGCATCAGATTCTGCGGCTTGGGCTCAATAGGGTTTACGGTCGCGTTCAGGGTTGAGCTTTAAGTTTGTTGTGGAGAGAGTTAGAGTAGTGCAGGGACCGTCACAACTAGAATATGCCTTCGATATATCTTACAGTTTAAATTATGCGCAGCATGAACGGGACATTGGAACGAATTCTTCGTACCTCTACGGCATGACAGGAGTCACAGAGATTAATCTGCTTGAGACTCTTTCCCGAGTCATTCAGCAACTCTGGATATGCGCTGGTTCTCTGGGTTGTAACTGAAAAGCTCTCCAAATTATTCATAGAACGGACATACTTATAACACTCCAAGGAATTCAAGAGCTCCTCAAGACAAACGCTGCTACATCACCCAAGGTTCGAGGGGGATGAGGGTGATGTTGTCCACCGCCACGTCGCCACGGTAGCTGGTGCCCGATACGACCTTCAGAGGCTTCTGAAAACCTCTTAGCCATTAGGGTGTAGTTCCACTATCGAAAAGCTGCATGTGGTTATGCGAAGCTACATAGTGAAAACAACCCTACACCACTGCAACCTTCAAAGAGACGCCCTACACCAGATCCGAAATACTCCTGAAGCCCCTCACCCAGTCCCGAAACCTCTAGATCCAAAAAGGCTCTAGGGTTTGCGGCTGAGGGTTTAGGATTGAAGCCCCAATCCCGAAACCTCCACATTTCTGCGACCCTAAACCCCCAAACCCCAGCATCTCCCTACGTTTCAAGGACAGCAAAAAGCCGCCGCCTTCAGCCGAAGCTTCGTAGCGCTGGCCTTGGATTCTATGAGCGCAGGAAGCCACGATTGATTTGGGATGTTTGTTCAGTATCTTATTCCTGGGCTGTTACTGCAACAGAGCCTGTTTCGGCAGGTACTGTCTCGAAAAAGCTCTTTGGGGTTTACGCCAGGACAGTCTGGGGCTGACGGTCAGAAGTTTCGGGCTTAAGGTTTAGCGTTTTCAAGATGTTCAATCCAGGGCGGAAGTTCTTCGCAAGAGCCACTTTAAAACAGCCGCTTGCAAAGGAATCCGGCGTCTTACGCCTTCGAGACATAGGGTTTAGGACTGGCTCCTCGGGCTCTGAGTTCATAATTTCAGGGTTCCTTTAAAGGCTTCCCTTAAAAGGGTTCTAGAAGGGTTAGTATAAGTCTTTTGTATCGGGGCGTTTTGGATTCATGGCTTCGGGATTTGCCAGGCTTTGGGATCAGAGGAGAAGCCGTCGAACAGGAAACTACAACCTTTCATTACAGGGGCAGCAACAAGGCAACAAGAAGAACAGGATTTTATTGGTGTAAACCGGAGCAGAAGTGCATATAGGGAGTACGAAGGGGGTATGATTGCAAACAGATCCCTCCCGAAAGAAGTGGCCTTGCGAAGGTGCCTGTCTACTGGGTATAGGTACCGTAGGCCTTTGGTGCCCCTAAGCTTTATGGCTGAGGGGCTTAATGCTTAAGGCACCCTTCAGAGTTGCCGCATTTCCCTCCAAGTGGCAGGAAGTGTCAGCAGCGCATGAAACCATTCCTGGGGTCTTGTCAAGGGGTTTAATTTAAGTTACCATAAAAAAGAAACCATATTGCCATAATATTTACTATAGATCCCTATTAATACAGTAACATAAAACAAATTCCCTTAATAAGAATCCAGATTCGTTGCCCTGGTTCCCGGACAAAGACAAGGCGGCTGTCCAGGCTGCGCCTCAGCACTCGGAGCTACGCCGGATGGACAAACTGCCCTGGGTTACCTTACTTAAGGTTGTTCAAGTGAATATGTACGGGGGTCAATTAAACTATTTCCGAAATCTTGTTCGGATAAATCCGGATTCTGCCCAGTACAATAGGATCGGACAAGGAATCTCACTTGATGGCTAACGCATAACTGCGAAATATTGGAGTTTCCGAAAATTAGGGGTGCCTTATGTTGGGGTCCTTCCAATAGGATCCTACTCTTTAGGGTACTATATGAGGGGCCCCTCTATATGTATATATATATATATATATATATGTATCTATTGTTTTTTCGGAAACTCCCTTATCTCATTCTCTCCTGAAGAGGCCGGGCCGCCGATCCCAAAGTGAAAAGGGAGTTTGGGGACCAAAGATGCGAACCCGAAGTAGCAACTAGTGCCTAAACCCTAAACCCTACCCTACAAAAAAAAAGAACTTAAACCCTACAGGGCCTGAATCCAAAAGTCCCATTAAAGCAGAAACCAACCCTAAAACTCTTAGCAAGAATCCAATGCCCCCAAACTCTACATGTTCCCTGAACATCCCTCTGAACCCTATGGAACCCTGAAAGGAGCCCTCAAAGTAACCCGTCTACGTTTACCCTAAACCCCAAACCCTAAACCCAAAACCCAAAACCCTACCCTAAACCCTGAACCCTAAACCACAAACCCCTGAACCCTAAACCCTTAGGGTTTAAGAAGCCCCAAACACTACAAGCCGCCTTCCTGGTACTCAAGCGTAAAGCTGCCCATGGAGGAGC